CAAAAATTTAATTACTGCACACAATCTTTGTCACTTTTTAAATGGCCATTATCATCTGGATATGAGCATGTTTAAAAGAAGGGACATGAAGTCTTTAAGGTAGAGTTGGTCCTTCAGCCTTGTAACTAGGCCTTACTTTTTGTTCAGACAAAAATGAGGCTACAAGACACATTTTTAGAGTAAAATATTTTCAAAATATTGAGTACAGTAAATCTTTTAAACCATGATAAAGTACACCAGTATGAAATTTTCCACACTCAAAGAGAGTCCATATCTTTGCCAGATATAATGAGCAATACACACCTAGGGGATCCTACGAACTGGGAAACAGTCACAAGTCTCGTTTTAGAGTGAGGAAATGATAACGCTTCCAGTTCCTGTTTATGATTCACTCCATGATGAAGATTTACTGTATTCAGATTTTTTCTCCTTGGTCATCCTTGTGTCTCAAGGAATATCTTTACATCATCAATTGAAAATATGTTTACAGAATCAGTAGGAGACATTCTCCTCTGCTGAAAGACTCATCACATATATTATCATTCAATGAAAAAAGGGAAAGAGTAACTAACCTAATAAGTAAATAAATGATCTGGGTAATAATAACTTACTTTGTTATCAACATTTAGAAGATAGAAAGATCCATTTGAGTTAACATAAAGCAAGATCTTCCTCTAGCCTCTCTGTATCTTACGGCAGTATCATTAACCTAATGCAAATGGAACTCCTCTGAAACTCATCAGTAAGTAGCCGTCTGAGGCACCTAAGTGGAGGTTCAAAGGTCCTGTGCATTTAGACCAAATGTTGGATGAACTTATCAAAACAATGGTTCATGTAACTGCATACATATCCATATATACACACACACAAGTGTATACAGAAATGTAATCATATACATATATATACAGTGCACATAAAACAATTTCTTGTAAGCAAGGGATAAATCACATGTAGAATTATAACTTCTTTTCTTTTCGGTAAAAATGTAACCAAGTCAGAGAGACTTGACAGGCAACAGGTATAAACCTCACTTTGAGTGGAATTGTTGTAGACACAAGTCACAGGACCATTCTCCTTCAGGTGGTTCCTGCAGAGGAGGACGAAGGCAGTACAGGTGATAGCCTCGGTCACAGTCGTCACAGAACAGCAACTGGTCCTGGAAGGATGAACTCATCATTTTTTGTAAAGCATCATGAACGTATGCAAAAAAAAAAAAAAAAGTTATATAATTTGATGTTAAAGATAATAAAAACACAGACAGAATAGTAAAAAGAAACAACCATGACCTTTGGAAGTGAGTTATGTGTTTTTTTTTATATCATAAGGGTACAAAAACATATCAGACTGTTTTAAAACACTGGATTTTATCAGTGTTGTTAACATATATACTTGTCATGAACAAAAAGGAAACAGGGAATTTTTGGCCTAGAGAAAGGCTGGAATGATGAAAGACAAGCAAGGAAGCTGAATGAATGTGCAAGTTATCTGAATGCAAAAAGCAAAGTGGATATAAAAATAAAATAGGTACAGGAATCTTCCAACCCTAACACGACACATGAAGAAAGATGACTGACCTCTTCTGCATACATATACACCTCAACTTAGCGGAAAAAAATTAAAAAATAAGCTAAGCTCTAAGCTCTGCTAAATAATCTACATGCAGCTCTTACTTAGTCTTTTAGGATGGCATTATCTGAATTCATATTATGCTAATTATTTTACTGAGCATTGGGGGAAAATGTGGAGAGACAACAGGTTTAAAAGGCATGGTACAGCACACTCTACAAAAAGCAATGGAAATCTTAGAAAAAGAAGTGATGACACAGAAAAGCTGCACAATTGTAAAGTTTATTCCTGGGTAAAAAAGAAGCCAACTTTTTATCTTAAATACTATGAAATCATTGCATATGAACAGGATAGTTTTTAATATGTCTGTATTCAGTGCAAGGCCAAGGTGTTTCTCAAAACTCTAAGTTGTTATTGGGTGACGGTTTCATAAAGTATGACGCATACAAAAAAAAAAAAAAGTTAATTAAAACAATAAAAATATGGAGGTGAAACTAAAGCTCAGATGAGAGAAAGGAAAAACATGGTTATTCTTAGGAAAAAAGGAAATGTGCAACAGAAATAGGGAAAGCATGATCAGAAGTATGTCAGAAAGTTACGGATAAGAAATGAATAATTGACACAGGATATTAGAAAAAGTTGAGAAAGTCTGTTGAGAGTATGAAGCAATTTTGCACACTAGAGAAATTATGTTGATATCCAATGCCTTAGGACAAATATAGAAATATAAGATTAAAAAAGATAATGAACTGAAAAATGATGACCAAACTGATCTTCCCTGTATAGCATTGTGTTACAGATGGACACTTTCTTTATCTAGTAGTCTGCTTTTATCTAATATGCACACGTATGATTTTTATTCTTCAAAATGTTTGTATATCTGTCTTTCTAAAATGCTGTGCAAAATTACATCTACACAACATTTCCATTTTTG